GGCGCGACGTTGGTTCCCCGGCCAGGAGAGCCTGGGCGCCCCGCGTGAGGGGCCACAGTTCGTTGCGAGCCGAGATTTGACCGCTGCTCGGCCACTTGGCTGAAGTGGGCAGCGGCTGGCGCCGCGCCCTCCGTCTCCGTCTCTGCCTCGTCGGCGTGGGCGCGCAGCTGGACGCCGCGGTCGGGCACGCCGCCTGCGGCGTGCACAGCCCTCTCGAAGTCGTCGGCGACCATCGCGAGGTGTCCGCTCGGAGCCTCGCGAGCGGCCCCGCGCGGGCCATTCGATGTGGATGTCGCCGCCGGTGGGCAAGATCAGTTCGCGATGGCCCATGTCCAAGATCGCGCGCATGGACCCTATGCTTCGCAGGCCGAGCAGGCCAGGCAGGTCGCTGCCCGATCCTCTGACAACTGGTGCTGTAAAGCTGTGGAATAGCTTTGCAGCACGGCAATTTGGGCGCTCGCTTGATGGGCGCGCCCCTGGGGCCCGTTGCAAACGCCTCGATGCCCGGCGGCTTGCTCGCGAGGAGCTGCTGCGGCCCGCGCCCCGTCTCTACGGCTCGGCGGCGCAGCTGGCGAGCGAGGTTCTCGCCGGCGAGGTTGGCCCATGCACCTGGGTCTCCAATGGCGCTGAGCTCACCTGAGGGGAGCTGCGCGCGTCTGTGATACACCTTAGGCGCGCACTCGTATGTTGGGCCAGTGGCTGGCCACCAGGGTAGCACATCGGCTTCGCCGCCATGCGGGGGGCCCCGAGGCGGCGGCTGCCCCCGCATGGGCGCAGGAATGCTGAAGGTGATCTCGCCGATCGGCGAGTCTCGCGGCGCGATCGAAACAACGTTGGCGCCGGAGGGCGCGCCCCCATCAGGCGCGTCGCGGGGCGCGGCGTCGATCTGGACGCGCGCGACCTCGCGCGCGTCCAGATGTTGCAAACATGTTGGACATTGTGAGAATGGTGATCGGCTCTGGTCGCGACGGAGCGCTTCTTCAACTGATCGCACCTGAGCGTTGTCGTAGCCGGCGGCAGCCCGGGCGTCGGCGCAGCTCCGATTGAAGAGACGGCCGCGCCGATGAACAACAACAAGATCAGAGTTGACGCAGCGGTCCGGACAGACCCCGCACATCTCATCGGTGTCGACTTTAGCTCCACTGAGTTCTGACTCTGCGCGTAGATCCAGCGGCAGTGGCGGCGGCGAGACGGTCGGGGGTCCAGCCGCGACCATGTCGATCATATGTCGGACGCGCTCGCGGCGGCGAGCGCGCCGCTGCCCCATCTGGGCGTCGCGGTCGGCCTCCAATCAATCTGGCCGTGGAAGACCTGATGGCCACGGCCGGCGCCCCAGCTAGGTGCGCAGATCCGCGGCGTTGTCTGCCTGGCAGGGCAGCTTGCGCTAGCCGGCCCTATCGCAGGCGCGCGCGTTAGGCGAAGCCGCCATTGCGAGGAACGGCGATGCGCTGATCACCAGGCTCCGCGAGTTGGCCCATCGGACGGACGGTCGCACCTGCACTGCACCGCCGGTCGATAAGGTTCATCTTTCGGGGGCCCCGTAGAGCTGCAGTCCTCCGTGGCACGTTGCTGGAGGGGCGAGATCCGTCGGCAGCTGCAGCCGGATCCGCGGCGGCTGCGGCCGCGCCAGGGGGCGGCGGCAAGACGGAAGTCGGGGCGGCCCTGATGCTGGCGCTGCCACTTTGAGCATCTGCAGCGGCGTTAGGGCAGCAGGCGCGTCGGCGCGCGCGAGGGTCTGGACCGCGACGAGCGAGGCTGCTGACCGCAAGCCGTGGACTGATCCAGGCATCTGCTAGGAGCCGTCGGCGCACGGCTGCGCCGGCGCAGCGTCGCGGCTCGGCTGCGGCCGAGGCGGGCCCTCAGCGACCGCGGAAGCATCTCCCGAAATCCCGGAAAGAAGGCCAGAGTCCATGGCGCCGTCTATGGGTCCGGAATCTGCGCCACCTTCGAACTGGCAGCCGCTGCCGCTGCCCCGCGGTGGTGACGCGGTGCCTCGCGAGCACTCAGCGCGGAAGTGGCACTCGCCCCCGCAGACGTCGCGCGCCATGGCGGCCCCGTCATAGCCTTGCTGATTGCGGCGCCTGCCTGTACCTTTGCCCGACGAGCGCATGCCTTTGCCCTGTCCGTTCTCCACCGAAGAAAACCTGGTCTACTTGGGCGTCTGAGAGCTCCATGACGAATGCGTACTTCTGGGAGCCCTTGCCCATGCCGTTTGCCTTTGTTTTCATTGTCTGGAGAAGGTTTCGTTGTTCTTCTTGATGAATATACGCGCCCTGCGTGCGGGGCGTTGCATGCGTCTGCGCCGCTGTCGCTTTGCAATCTTAATTTGCCAGAACAGCTGAGCATCTACCTGAGCAGGGCTGGGAGCTTGGAGCTCGGGCGCCTGGTCGTCGGCCTCTCCACTTGGGTCCGAGCTTGCGCCGGGGGGGGGGCCCGCCGTCGCAGTCGGCCCCGTGCGCAGGCGACCGCGCAGCGGCAGGGAACGTCGCGGGCGGCGGCGGCGCGGCGCTCCGCGACAGGCCGACAGCGCACTTCTGGGCGCCTCATGCGACGGAAAGCCCGGCGGCGCAGGCAGCCCAAGGGTCGAGAGTGTGCCAGTGGACATGCGCATCGTTGCTGTTGTCTTGGTCATGCCCGCGAATCCTCCGAGCGATGGCGGCGCGCGAAGGGCGCTGGCGATGTCATTGCGGCGCGTGCCCAATGATATGATCAACGCGCTGGAGCATAATCATAAGACTGCTGAGCTCGGCGCCTGTGGCTATCGGTTGCCGCATGGCTGGGGCAGCGTCATGAGTTGGCTAGCTGTGGCACCGACTGCTTAGAGGGGCAGCCAGGTGCAACCTTCCCACGACGTCGCAGCTCCAACGTTGCGCGTATCTCGGATTCGCAGCGCGTGAAGCCGTGAGAGCAGCGCGTCGGTGGTTTCGTTGTGTCGCCTCGAGAACTCGAAGAGTTCGCGGGCTGCCTGGGGGCGCAACTCCTTGCCTAGTGGACCGAACTGCGCGGCGAAGATCGCGATGCGGTAGGTCACGGAGTCCTCTTGCTGGCCGCTGACCATGCTCCCATCCGTTATCTCCGCGAATCTCATGGGGCGCACGAGCTCGCAGGCGGCACCACCGAGGTTGAAGATGACGGCACCGCATTGTTGAGCGCTGTCCATGTCGGTGGCTACCACGCTCCAAGCGAGCAGATCCTGTACCCAGTGGCGGAACGGATACACGGACTCGCGCTCGGGTGGCCAGGGCAGCTGGTGGGATGTGATGGCGCCGCGGCCGCCGCCGCCCAGTCGGCCGGCTCCACCAGGCATCATGCCTGTGAGCCAGAACAGGACGGCAACGAAGAACACGAGGATGCTGCCCCAGGACGTCAAGATGGAAATCCTCCTCGATTAGACATCGCCACGATGATGGCTGCGAAAGCGCCTTGGGGCTCGGGCCTGTGCAGGGACGAGCGCCATGACGAAGTGCGGGGCGACCATAAGGATGCCGTTGTGAACCTTGGTAGAAACCGAAGTCGGTGAAACTGGTACATTGAATTGCAGCGTTCCGCTCGGTTGGTGCGACGTGCTCGCACATCGCTCCAACCGATCGCACAGCCAGCACCATCGCACACGTATCGAAGCACGGCGCTAGCCTAGGATGGGGCCTCGCAGTCATGCCCGACGCGAAGCTGCGGCCAGGGCATCTGGGTTTGCGATGGTTCGGGGAACGTCTTGGCACTCCTGTGGGCGAGTCGCTTCTCATCGCGGTTACGCCTTCTGCTGTTGCCCTCGCATTCGGGCCAAGTGTTCGAAGCGAATCGCCGGCTGGCTTGCAGAACAACCATAAGCACAGGTTTCTCAAATTATGGAGGGTGGTACCGATGCGGAGGTGAAACTAAGTGCGAATGTGCGTCCAAACTGCACTCTCCGCACGTTCCGTGGATCGCGAGATGGGATCGCCCCCAACTCGGCTGCCAACCAAAATTGCGGGGGGTGGAAGCTGTACGACAGAAAGCACGGCGGCAATAACATGTACATTGCTGGACTTTCTCTCTTCATACAATAGGTAGACATGCGTCGACGCTCGGGCCAAAACAGCGGCGACCCCTCCGATTCGAGTGACGAGGAGGAGGAAGAAGAGGAGGAAGAGGAGGAGGAGGAGAAGAAAAACAGTGAAGCAAGGGCACGGGTGACAGAGGGGTAAAACAGGGGGTCCACCCGATGACCGCACACTGACAAGAAGAGGGGGAGGGGGAAGAAGGGGGCTGAAGAGCAGGAAGAGGAGGCTGGGTTTGGGGAAAAAGGGGGATTTCTCCATCAGGAGCTAACGGCGTCGGGGCCGTCTGCGACGAGTACCGCCGAAGGGAAGCTCGACAGCCTGCAAGGCTGCACGGGCTAGGCAGGCGGCATCGCCTTAACGAAAGGGAATCGACTGAGCATTCCTCTGTCGGTGGCTGGAATTACATCGCCGTATCTCTAAAGGTATCGAGTGTGGTGGATTCCGCCGACGGTCAAGAGGGGGTCCAAAAACAGCAGAGCAGGGAGGTCATGCTTTAATCGCCTGTGTATGAGCATACACACGTGGGAGCAGTGGCAGAAATCGTTCTTATAAATTTATATATATATATATACATACATACATACATATATATACATATATATATGGTATATAAAGAAGCTGTGGTCCCAGGACATTCCAAGACGTAACCCCTACATGGTTAAGGATCAGTCAGCATCGAATCGAGACATCGGATCGAGTCATAAGGCGCGTCAGATCAGGCTACGTCGGCACGGAATCAAAATCGAATCGGATCGGCTGCACCAGAATGCACAGCAGCACCATGCAAGCACTTGACAGCTTCGGACCAACGGAACATCGACACCGAATCGGACCGAGCCAGCCAGACTCGATGTCGAACTGGGCCGATCGGCTCGAAGTGGGCCCTGTGTGCTGCGCTTCCAAGACTCAGGAGGATGAGGAGGGAGGAGGAGGACAAGGAGACGCAGAGGGCAGAGGAGCAGAAAGGCTGGCGGAGGAAGACGAGGCGCAGGCTGCTCAAGAAGGGGGCCCGGGGCGGGCTCGGAGGAGGCTTGGGCAGAACCTCGCAGCCCCAACACGCCTCCCCCCAACATGGTCAGGACTGCTTTCGCGGGGCGCGCCAGCATCCAACAACGGTGAGACTAACCCTCCGCCGATCATGCGGCGAACAGCCAGCCCGAAGTCCGCACTCCATGAGGAGGGCGGAAACTATATAACCTACACCGACCCTGGCAAGGCCTGGGATCGGTGCATAAACCCTGCTGGCTTGGCCAGGATAGCATACACACCGATGGCCTGTCCGCCCCCACTCGTGTTCCACCCTCCTCCCACGCATCGCCATCCTCCCTCCTCCCCCCCTCGTCCTCCCTCTCCGCATCCTCCCTCCTCCTCCGCTCCTCCCCCTTCCTCCCCCTGCCTCCTTCCCTCCCTCTTTGCCTCCCCGCCTCCTCCTTCTCCTCCTCCTCATCATCCTCCTCCCACCCCCCTCTCGTACCCCACTCCCCTCACCCTCCCTTCTACATTGAAGCAGTATGAATGCTACATACTCTCCATCATCCCCTGAAGTTGTCTGGAGAACTCCCGCCCCCTCCGCGTGCTGTTTTTTACACGCAGACTTTCGAACGATGCTTTGTTTGCTCGTCTGTTAGAATATGGTTGTTTTCGCTGTTTCAGAATGGTGCTCCTGCTGCAGCGTGGGCCTCATTTTCGGATTGGCGCTTTGCTCACGTAGTTCAAAACGGCGCTCTCGCCCCAGCGCGGGCCACTTTTCTGGACCCGAGTTTTGCCTCATCATGGTCCACCCCTCATTTCCCCTCCTCCGCCTTCACCTGGTCCTCGTGCTCCTCCCGTTCCTTCCACTCCAGATCATGATGCTGCTGTTCGCCTCGCCCCACCGCGGGCCACTTTTCTGAATCCGAATATTTCTTCATCATTGTCGACTCCACCATTTCCCCTCCTTCGCCTTCCCCTGGTCCTCCTTTTCCTGAACACCTTCTGCTTTAGTGCCTGCTGCTGCTGTTCGTCCTCGTCCGCTGTTCCTCCCGCTCATCCTCCTGCTCACCCGCCACCTCCTCCCCATGTGCACGCAGCTCCTTTCTTTTCGATTGCGCATAACACGTCATGGTCGTTATGTGGGAGTCGCAAGTCGGCTATGGCACGCGTCCGCGAATAGAAAACAAATCAGCGCCATGGCAAGGGATGGGGGGGAGGGATAGGATGTCAGATGAGGCGCGAGCCCACCTAGCTTGCATTGCCTTAGCGCCTCTCCCTCTTCCCTCCTCCCCCTCGTCCTCCTCCCCGCCTTGTCCGCCTCCCAACCGGGATTCCGCGCGGCGCCCCTCTCACCGGGCCATCGCGCGCTGGGACAGGCTCGTCTTGCCTTCCCCGAGGCGCCACCTGGGTGGCCCAGACATCCTCCGTCGTGTTTTCGCTCCACGACAAAAACACTCCCAAGAGGCTTGCCTTCCAAGACGGCGGGGAAACTTCTGGGAAGGCGGGCGCCTTCTCGGCAGCACGCCCGGCCTCTACGAAGCCCCCGTTGGGAGCGCCCTGGCGTTTCCAAGATGGCCCCCGCCCTGGCAGAAGGCCGCCTGCCTTCGCGCCACCCAGGAATCCGACGCCGTGCCTGCTGTGCTCAGCTGTGGCTCCCCCGAGGCCTGGCTGGGCCTCCTGCCCCCGGGGACCGGCGGAGGCCCCCGGAGGCCGAGCACTGCCACAAGAGGCCGACTCCCCCGCGAGTCCTTGCGCGAAACGGGGGTGTCAGGGGGCCACGGCGGCGACGACGCCGACGACGAGGGCGGCAACGGCGACGGCGCCAACGACGCCAGCTGCGACGGCGGCGGCGACGGAGACGGCAGCCCCTGGCCTGGCACTTCCGGGCGGTGGGGGCGGGTGCTTTTTCGAGGGGAGGGCCCCCAGCACCCACAGGAGGGGGGCAGAGACGGATGCTGGGGACAGCCTGCCCCGCTCCTCATGCCTCCTCCTGCCTCCTCCCTCGCCCTCCTCATCCTCATCCTCCTCCTCCCCCCCCCCTCCTCCTCCTCCTCCTCCTCCTCCTCCTCCTCCTCCTCCTCCTCCTCCTCCTCCTCCTCCTCCTCCTCCTCCTCCTCCTCCTCCTCCTCCTCCTCCTCCTCCTCCTCCTCCCCTTCCTTCTCCTCCTCCTCCTCCTCCTCCTCCTCCTCCTCCTCCGCCCTCGTCCTCGTCCTCGTCTTCCGCTTCTTCCTCCTCCTCCTCGTCCTCCTCCTTGCGACGCATCCGCACCCGCATGCATCCACATCGCCCGGGGAACCATAATGTATTTTGACGCATCCGCATGCAGTCACCGCACGTAGGACAGATACCCTGCAAGTTACATCTCGTTCGTTTGCATCCTCCCTGGTTCTCTCTCACATTTCGTTCCTCCGGGGTCGGCACTGCCAGTTTGCGAACATTCGCCGTTTCTGCGCGCTCATCCCCGCCGCGAGGCAGATGCCTCAAGGACGTTGCCCGGCGGCAAAGCGGCCCTGCACACACTCACGTCGAACCGCTATCAACGAAAGTCCCCTTTTGGGCACTGGCTGGCGGCAGCGCCAGCCATCGCGCGTCCGTATATGTTGCGCGACTACCCCTGTCGCAAGGTTGTTGCCTCAAGAACGTTGCCTGGCGGCAAGGCTGGTGGCCCTGCACGCTCCTACGTCTAATCGGGGAGTTCGTCCGTTTCTTGACACGGGATGGCGGCGGTGCCTGACCTCGTACATCCACAGATTATGCACGCCCACCGTAGTTGCGAGGAGGTATGCCTCCAGGACATAGCCTGGCGGACAGGCCGGCGGCCCTGCACCTTCTCACGTCGAACCGCTACCGAAGTTCGTCCCCTTTTGGACGCTGGTTGGCGCCAGTGCCAACCATCGCGCATCCGCAGATTATGCGCGCCCACCGCCGCACCATCACGCCGCACTCTTCGACGGCATGCATCAATACGTGTCCCGCAGTCTTCATGTTTTGCTTCCCCCCGAAGCCGCCAGTGTGGCGGTCGAGTATCCTATGGAACAGTCCCTTTTTCAATCCCACTGCGGAGACATCGGCGGCAATGGAGGGGGTCCGCCCCGTCCTCCCTTCGGGGGGGCGACCCGGCCTGCCTGAAAGCTGCCTACCCGTGTCACCCCTCGGGTGGCGATCCGACCTGCGATTGCGCACGTCCCCCCTTGTCACCCCTCAGGTGGCGTACCAGTCTGCTGCGGTGCATGCTGCCCCGATGCGGAGCAGGTCCCCCCTGTCACCGTCAGGACGGCGATCCTCCCTGCGATGTAGCAACCTCACATGTCCCCAGTTGCAAGCCGTCCTGCCTTGCTGGTCCCCCGGGGGCTGCCCCGAGCCACCCTAGTAGGCTAGGGCCAGCGTCTGACGCTGTGCTGGGGGATGCCAGCCCATCCTCTGAGCAGAGGTCCGTCAAACAGACCAACTTCCAGGGATGCCAGCACGGCCAAACCGAATGTGTCGAACAAAGGTGGCTGTCGCGGGGTATGCTGACCACGCATACCAACAACCAGCACCAAGTGCCAACAACAGTCCAACAGTCCCTGCGCAGGCTTTGGGAACAGAAGGCTTGTCATCCCAACCTTCACGAGCTCCCTCACAGGTTTATGCCCACCCTCAAGGGCATGAGCACCACACTGGAATCCTCCTCCTCCTCCTCCTCCTCCTCCTCCTCCTCATCATCATCATCACCATCACCATCACCATCACCATCATTATCATCAACATCATCATCATCATCATCATCATCATCATCATCATCATCATCATCATCATCATCGTCATCATCGTCATCATCGTCATCATCACCATCACCATCATCATCATCATCATCATCATCAGCAGCAGCATCATCATTATCATCATAATAATCATCATGACCATCATGACCATCATCATCATCAGCAGCAGCATCAGCATCATCATCATCATCATCAGCAGCAGCATCATCATTATCATCATAATAATCATCATGACCATCATGACCATCATCATCATCAGCAGCAGCATCAGCATCATCATCAGCATCATCATAATCATCATCATAAGCAGCAGCATCATCATGAGCAGCAGCAGCATCAGCTTCATCATCATCATCATCCCCCTTTTTATCCTCCTCCTCCTCCCCCTCCTTATCCTCCTCCTCGTCCTCATCCCCCTTCTCCTCCTCATCCCCCTCCTCCTCCTCCGCCTCCTCCTCCTCCTCCTCCTCCTCCTCCTCCTGTACCTGTTACTCCTCCTCCCTCTTCCTCTTACTCCTCCTCATCCTCCTCCCCCTCCTCATCCTCCTCCGCCTCCTCATACTCCTCCTCCTCTTACTCCTCCTCCTCCTCCTCCTTCTCCTCCCCCTCCTCCTCCTCCTCCTCCTCCTCCTCCTCCTCCTCCTCCTCCTCCCGCCCTCCTCCTCAGGGGGGGGAGGACGGAGGAGGGAAGAGGAGGAGGGGGCAGGGAGGAGGAGAGGAGAGGAGGGGGAAGAGGCCTCGGGAGGGTTCGCAAGCCTGGGAAGAGGGGGCCGGTGGGAGGAAGGGGCAGCGCGGAACGCAGGATGGAGGGGGCGGGGGGGGGAGGGGAGGACTGACGGGGACGAGCACGAGGGGAGGGAGAAGGACGAAGAAGAGGCCACAGGGCGCGAGGAGGGGACGGAGACGGCCCGAGGGCGTCCGAGCCGCAGCGCTCCCCGTCGGCCCCCGCGCACGGGCTGCCCGCGGGGCCGCCCGAGCACTGCCACCCGCTTCTGTGAGCCAAGCGCAGAGGGGGGAGCTGTGGTCCTGCCCCTCCCGGGTGGGCCCCTCGATCTCGACGCCCCTCTCCAGCCATCGCCGCCACGCTCCCTCGGTTGTGGCTGGTCGGCCTGTCGCGGCGCCAGCGGGGTGCTTTATGAGGCGTGGCGGCGTTCCCCGGACGGCCGCGAGCAAAAGGGGGATCGGGGGAGGGGGGAAGGCTTCCTAGAAGCACCCCTGCTTCTTAGAAGGCGCGGGCCTTCTCTGAAGATGTAGTGCTGGCGCCTTCTAAGAAACAGCCTCCTCTTTTAAAAAAGGTCCCCCGCCGCCCTACCCCTTATAAGCGTCGCCACTTCTGTCGAACACGGAAAACTCCTCGCGTAGGGCCATTATTTCGGACCGTTAGCAAAGGCTACGCAGCACCTCGCAGTTGCGGATAAGACTGATGGGGGCGGCGGGGAAGTCTGCAGTCTGCGGGCCTCTGAAGCAGCTCGCCGCAAGCGACCACTTGCTACACATTCTGCAACGGGCCCGCCGCAAGCGCCGATCTTTCGCCCAAAGAATGTAATTGGGCCGCGGGGTGGGTCTCGGGTGGGTCGCGGGGAGGGGGCTCGCGGGCGGGTCGCGGGTGGGTCGCGTGGGGGTCGCGGGGGGGATGTCGCGGGTGGGTCGCGGGTGGGTCGCGGGGTGGGTCGCGGGTGGGTCGCGGGTGGGTCGCGGGCGGGTAGGGAGGGTCGCGGGTGGGTCGCGGGTCGGGTCGCGGGGGGGGCGACGCCAAACAACAACAACAACAACAACAACAACAACAACAACAACAACAACAACAACAACAACAACAACAACAACAACAACAACAACAACAACAACAACAACAACAACAACAACAACAACAACAACAACATCAGCATCAACAACAACAACAACGACAACAACAACAACCACAACAACAACAGCAACACCACCAACAACAACACCAACAACAACAACAACACCGACAACAACAACAACAGCAACAACAACACCAGCAACAACAACAGCAGCAACAGCAACAACAACACCAACAGCACATCCAACTGTAGTAACAACAACAACAACACCACCAACAACAATAACAACAACAACAACAACAACAACAACGACAGCAGCAGCAGCAGCAACAACACCACCGACACATCCAACTGCAACAACAACAACAACTACAACAACACTAGCAGTAACAACAGCCGCTACACTCATTTTAAGACTGGTCGCTCTTATCTGCTCGCGGGCCACTCAACACGTAGATCCCAAACCTTCGATACCCGCCCTCTTCGTCTGCGATCGTAACCCATTGGGGATGTATCTTGCTTACCTGCAGCGTGTATTTCGTGCAGTCCCTAAGGCAGGGGAAGAGAAGACGGATGAAAGGAAGGGACAAAGGGGGAGGAGGATTAAACACGAGGGACAGTAGCACGAGGAGGGGTTCGGAACTGAAAGCGCGTGGCAAAACCAGACGGGCAAATCGGGCGGGTAGACCATGGTCGGGAAGGCGGGCGGGCCCAGGCGGCCAGGTCGAGCAGGCGGGTTGCTGAAGCGTGCGCCCTGCGGGAATCGCGGGGAGGCCTCACGCGATAGCGCGATTCCCACATACACCACCAGGGAATCCACAGCGAGAGCGCGATT